GCCAGGAAGTACGGCAGATGGAGTTTATTGGCAGTGCTTTCCGCTCATCAACGCAAGTTGGCCATTAGAGAAGCTGCTCACCAGAAGTGCCTGATTCCTTCATATCTATCAGCATAGTTTAGAAAGACCTTGAACACCACTGGCATGGCAGACACTGGTTAGAACGTATGATTGTACATGCTTCAGGAGATTCAGTTGCCTCTGCTGGGATTCCATGATAAACATTATTCCTTTAACTTTCCCAGCCTATGACATGTTTTCTCAGGGCCTCATTCGTGTGACAGACACACAAGCTATGGCATCTGGGATATCATCATCACAATTTGAGTCCTAACAACTTCCCAGTCAAAATGCACCACATTCAAGGTGGTGTCCAATTTTTTCATTCTAGGATATAGTAGGGTCATCATATTTTGACACACCAACCCAGGATCAAGGCATTATCATCAGATATCGGAGCTCCCCAAAAAACCTCCAGAGGAAAGTGCCCATTAGAAAATGTAGTGGGTTTTGATTCAGTTGGTTCTCTTGGTAAAGGTCAGCAGAGTTTCTTTGAGATCCCTACATCTTCAAGTAGTGAAGTGGAGGGTGTTCCAGACCACAATCAATACTTAAAGTTGGCAGCTATGCAGTACCAAGGAAAAAGAAAGAGTGCTGAGGTGGATCAATTTCTGGTGAGGAAGAAATATAGGTGCATTTGAAACAAGCTTTCCAAGCTCTAAAATTTGTGTCTGAATTAATGAAATTCCACCAGCAGACAATGACAGATTGGACACAGCTTGCAGACCATTTTAAGGCCGTTCCACGGCTACTGATTAATAATGAAGAAAATGTATAAAATGGGAACGAAAGCCCAGGTCACCAGTTTCCCAAGCCTGAGGTTAATAAGTAGCTGCACTGATTTAGCTTAGCAGAAGTTTTGTTAGAGCTCACACAGGTTCCCAGAAAAAACAAAATATATACCTCCCAGTGGGACACCTAAAGGCAAGTCTTCAATATTTATTTTTCTCCCTCTTTATATGCACTTTTCCTTCTTGCAATACAAAGAGCAATCTTGCAGAAAATCAAACAATCATCTTGCAACATGGCCAAGAGAATATTCATGTTAACAATAGGAAGACACATGGTTCCATCCTAGGACCAGTGTTGTTCAATGTAACTATTAATGAGCTGGAAAAGGGGATAAGCAGTGAGGTAGCAACATTTGCAGATAATATGAAATTGTCAGGCAAGACTGGAGACAACTATGAAAAATTTGAGAGTGAATTTCATCTGTTCCATTCCCTTAGCTTGGATAAGTCTGTGCTAAAAAATTCAAAGTACTGCACACTGGAAGAAATAATGTGAACTACCAATACACCTTACTGTAGTCTAAATTAACTACATCAATCCAGAGAAAAGACCTGGGTATCATTCTGGACGGCTCAATGAAGATCCCTGCTCAATGCGTAGAAGTGGTCATAAAAAAGATGCATGGTGAATGGGATGGTGAATAATAAAGAGAATATTAAATGCCATTATTTATATAAATCAATTTATTCCAGGCCCTGACTTGAAATGCTGTGTTCAGTTCAGTCAACTCATCTCAAAAAGGATTTAGCAATAATACTGGAGATTTCAAGGAAGAGTAACAAGAAATATTAGAAGCATGGAAAAACTTTTATGAAGAGAGGTTGAAAAGACTGTGACTAATTAGCATAGAGAGAAGGCAAACAAGAGGGAACATGGTAAGAGTATATAAAATAATGGATGGTTAACGTTTCTATTCACCCTCTCTCATAACACCAGAACAGAGGGAAATTCAATGTAATTGAAAGGCAACAAATTCAAGGATCAAAAAAGGAAATATTTTTTCACAGAACACACAATTAGCCTGCAGAACTCATTGCAACAAGATATCACTGAAGCCAAGAGCTTGGCAGGGTTCAGGAAAAGACTGGATGCTTACATGGATAATGAGAGCATCAGAGGTCTAGCAATAAATATTTTAAATGAAATCTTGGAAGGGATATAAATCCTCAAACTTCAGGGTGTAAGCCTCTCTCTATCTAGTGGGGCTTAGGAGGCCATTCCTAAAGTCCCACTTGCACCTTCCTCTGAAGGATACTGGACTAGATGGACTATCTGACCAATATGGCAATATCTCTGTTCCTATGGAATGACTTTGGGTCATATTGGCTTGGTTTGAAATTGAGCTCAAATAATTCTCTGTCTGTCTTTAAACAGGATAATCTACTTTGTATTTCCAACATTCGGTTGTTTGCTTGCGTTGTTTCCTTCTTTTCAGCCTAGCACTGCTGGAGAGATAATCAGAGCTTACCTTCCTGCTGGTAAAGAACAGAGATGCTGCTTTTGAAGCATAATGGTTAGAGGTGAAAAAGATTAATCTGATGGAGAACATCTCAGATACCAAACAGCGACTATACTTGCTGCTGTTCGTGATCACTGTGGGAGTAATAGCCAATCTATGACACTGCAGCTCACTAGCACTTAACAGGAGTTGCAGCATATAGGTACAGAGCATTTCATGCACTACTCTGCCCCAAAACAACAGGTTTCTCTCCTCCTAATGAATTAAATAGGGTCCTAGTCTAACTGGAGACAAAGTGCAGTTTAGTTTTTCCTCCATCTAGTCCCAGAGTCTATTCTAGGTGGGCACTGAAATCCATCTTACAATTCCCTTTCTCAGGAAGAATGTAGTCACTTTCTGAAACAAAAATATAGTCTCGCCCCATTTGGTATTTCAGCAGCCAAGATTTTTTGGGTCAGTTAAAAAAATTCCACCTAGATTTTTATGTCCTCCTGAAATACATTCTAATTTCTCACCCTACCCACCCATTTACAATTCAATGAACATGGAGTTCCTGTAATTCTCTCTCTCTCTCTCTCTCTCTCTCTCTCTCACACACACACACACACACACACACACACACACACACACACACACACGAGAATTCTGCTCTTAGATCAACTATGTTGATTTCTTGTCCACCTTGAGTTTCTCCATTGTATTCTACACTTGACTCCCACACAGAACTCCTGCCTATGCCTATGGAAGTTGGGCATGGGGGTAGACTGCAAGAATGTGCCCTAAAGATCTCCAGTGGAGATCTGAGAGTATAAATTATCCCCTCAGTTACTATAATTTTTAACTGCAAAGACCTACATTTACACCCATTTTTCATTTGCATTGTTTCAAAACACATGGAGTTGTGTCTTCAGATTAAGTTATGCAGCACAGCCAGGCTTGCTGTAACCAGCATTTCGGCTCCCAAAAACCTTTGTGTTTGGAGTACTCCAAACTTACATGACCTCTCTCTGTTCATGTAGCTCCATTCATTGTTAGAGTGACACAGTATCCTGATTCAGGAAAGCCAGTTCCAGTTTAACAAGGGCTGCTACAATAATCCCAACCAAGCTTTCTTTTTTTAAAAAAATGAAGCTTAAAGGCTGCTTTTCCACCATCTGACTGCATCTCTCCCCCAAAGTGTTCCTCCACCACGGTTCTGCTTGTCTTGCTCTGCCCCCTTCTGTCAAGTCATTGACAGAAAATGCTGATTTAGCAAAGTTGCAGAACAGAGCAACAGACTAGTGGGGACAGGGGTGGCAGAGGCCTTCTGGTAGTGTAGGATGAAGCTTTATCCAATAACCTCCCAAATGCAGCAAACTCAGCTAGTCTCTGAAAATCCAGTTTGGTCCTTCGAACATAATCATCAACACAGATTCTAGAATCATAATTCATTTGATAATTCTGTGTATGATGCACAAGGCTACAGCTATTAGCTACAGCTCTACTGATTGTAAAGCTCTCTCTGTCTCTCTCACACACACACACACACACACACACACACACACACAGACAAAATATTTAGTTAAGGAAGTATGTATAATCTGATACATAAGGAGCAGACCATTAGCAAGTACTCTATGGACCACTTGTGAACCAATGATGACACTTTAGGAGTTGCTAATATAAGGGACACCTGTCACTTTTAATCATACACAGTATTTTTTTTATATTTATTCAGAGAAAGAAAGCAATAAGAAACTCTGGAATCTGCTTAACCTCATCTGGTTTTTAAGTAAAAATAGCATCTGTTCCAGCAAAAAAATGGCCATGTGATGTGCCCTATGTGGTCTACACAAGGCATATTGTCTGAGACCAAGTGGTACTTCATGCAGTCTAAACGCCCACTATAAATTATCCTGTACCTGCTGCTGCTACAGAAGAGTTCATTAAAAAGCCCAAGTGGTTAGAAAGAAAACAAGTTTGCCTGATATTGACCCAGGGAGTCTGTGACACATGGAAACAGGATGAATTAGTGGGACATATGGCTGTCCGCGAACTGGGAATTGCATTGTTAATTGCAGCAAGAGACAACACACAGCCCTTTCTTCCTGCCACCCCTGCATTACCAAACACTTCTCTTAGACTTGAGACCACATGATCCAAAGTGCACAGAACATTCATTGATTTTGCAATGTTATTCTAGACACACTGAGCAGCAGGGAGAATAACCTCTTCTCTCCATGACTTGTGCGAACAATATTCCTTAAGCTATTCCCATCCCAAGGGAAAGCCTTGGCTTGTCAGCAGGCAGTTAAAAGACTAACAAAAAGGAGATATTAAAAAGTTATTAGTATTGTTAGAAACATTTTCTCTTCCTGCTATTGGTGTATTCCCATCAGTAGGGGTTGTGGGAAGAGCACCTGTACCCTGAAGCCATGAGAGCATAAACACCCATAGTTAAAACAAACTGGTAACAGTACATTTTCAGTGGGGTTCAGTTAGGGATTCTATCTGTCAAGGCCCCATGGCTGCATGGCTTGGATACATACTCCTGGCTGGGAGATCAGATGCAGAAGCAGTGTTGTGGCTGGGAAAGAACAAGAAATTACAATCCTTCTTCTACTCTTGACTTCCCATTAAGGCATTTGGGATTCCAGCAGTGACTGGATTTAAATGGGGTAGCACATTACTGGCAGCAAATGGGTTGTACCTTGAGGTTTGGGTTTGGTAAGCTTCCCACAGGGCTTTGAGATGGTGACAATTTTCTGGCAGTCAGCATTGTGAAGGGCTCTCTTCAGGTTCCCAGTTCGAGTCTTCAAGGCGGTATTCAGGTCGCATTCTCCCCAGGCCTGGAACTGGTATTTACACTCCGCTGCAAAGAGTGTGGGAACACAAAGAATTTTTTACAAAGAATCATGGAGCATGAATAAAACATTACCCAAGTCTAACCAGGTGGGCAAATACTGCCAGTGATTTCAGGCAGGTGGATCACACATCCAAAGAAATGGAATGTGGGGGGCAGCAAAAATTCAAGGGACATTTTGGGAGGTAATTTTGCCCCCAAATATGACCCAATGTAAAAGCATAATTATCTTGCTCTTGCATGGGTACAGGATTAATGTTATATAAAGGAAACTACATTTTTATACTGAAACTACAAAAGAGAGACAATTTAGTGGAAAACATCCTCCAGATTCGAAAGGCATGATTCTCCACTGTCTTGCGGCATCATTTACAAATGAGGTATGAAAACTAGCAAACTAGAATAGTAATATTTTGCACTCTTGCGCAGGTATAAATGACTACACAAGGTGTGAGGCCGGGGAGAATCAGACCCTTTAATATCTATTTTTTCTCATCAAGAAATTAAAATATATTAAACCAAAAGATTATGCCACTGTTTATCCATGATTCACTGTATAAAGTGTTATGGCTCTATCACTGCAGAGGTGGCCAGCCAGCTGATTACAAGTTAACTAACAAGATTTTTTTCCGCAGAATAGTTCTCACTAGTGAAGAGTTGGAGCAAAAAGTTCAGAGGGTACTATCCAGTTCAGATGTGTATCCAAACATTTGTATGGTTATTTTTCTGAAAATGAACTATCCAAACATCTTGAATTTGCAAAATAGGGCCAGAAAAACTGCAAGTGCCCAGGTGCAGCACTGGACCTGCCAAATCCAGAACCTCTGCACTGACAGCCTGCAGCATTCATTGTAGTGCCATTATCAGTTCAAGTCATCCAAGCTGTTTAGTAGAGAAAAGCTGAGTCTACAAGGGCAACCATATACCTGAATCCTGGTTACATAGCTTGTCCAGGATGGAAGGAAAATCTTAGTCTTTCATGGATTAAATGCTATGGCCTTTATCCACTCCCCAACAAGTCTCAGCCACTAGTGCGAGAGGCTGCAAATTTTATATCATGTTCCTGTGTGGAGGCTGCAGTAGCCATGGGGGGGAGGGGCAGTATTCACAACTGTGGAAAGGCAATAGAGAGCAACTTTAACATGCTGCTGGACCTCTGGGGGCTGTATTGGCTGGGTGGATGTCCTGCCAATAGGATCCCTCTAGTAGAGCTCGATGAATATTATTAATTAATTATTATTCAAATAGCAAATTCTCAGAAAAATACAGTTTCATAGTGACCAAAACCATTTGTGGGACAAATATGGCAAATAGTTTCAGTCACACTCAAAGAATGAGGGGGAAATTTTCAAAAAAAGTCAAAAAATGGTAGTTTTGACATTTCTGAAACAAACCATTTTGTTTTGAAATGTTTATTTGAATTGACCCGAACAACTTTTTTTAATAAACATTTTCATTTTGACAAAAATAAAAAAAAATCAGTTTCAGTTCAAAACTAACCAATTTTTTTCCCCAGGTTTTTCAGCTTGGCCACCACATCGAAAAATCAGTTATTTGCTCAGTTCTACCCTCTACCATGAATATCCTGCCTTCTGCTGGCCTAAACCCAGGGTGACTCAAGCCATGGCCTTGAAGGCCTGTAAAATCTGCCTTCTCCTACAGAGTATATCTCAGTGCATAGGGTTACCATATTTCAATACTGCAAAAAAGGACACTCCACGGGGCCCCGGCCCCGCCCCAACTCCACCCCATTTCCCGCCCCCGGCCCTGCCCCAACTCCACCCCTTCCCCAAAGTTCCCGCCCCAACTCCACCCCCCTGGCCAGTTGCGTCTGGGCCAGCTGCCCAGCTGGTGCAATCCCGTGGGCGGCCCCGGGGCGGAGGCATCGGCAGCTCCGTTCGTTCCCCTGCGGGACCCGAGCGGGACGGGGGGGGGGGCTGGGGCCTGCTGCCCCCACTCTGGGGCCGCCCGTGGGATTGCACCAGCTGGGTCCCCGCAGCAGTTCCAGGCTCAGGGGGTTCACGCCCCGGGTGCCAGAGCCGCAGCCGCTGAACGCCACATGCTTGGCCGCTTCCCCCCGCGGCAGGGGGAGCTGCAGCAGCGGCTGCTCCCGAGTCCAGCTGCCCAGGTGGGGAGAACGAACAGCCGCCGCCTGGCCCCGGAAAGTTGGAGCCCGGGGAGGAGGCGGTCCCCTTACCATGCCTCCCTATTTTCCCGGACATGTCCGGCTTTTTGGAAATTCCTCCCGGACGGGGATTTGAGGACCAAAAAGCCGGACGTGTCCGGGAAAATCCGGACATATGGTAACCCTATCAGTGCAGCACTTCCTGAATGGGCTGTAATCAGAGTTAGTGAAGAAATGATCCCTCCTCCTTTGTCCAATCCCCAAAACTCAACAAAAATAAAATAGAATTTAAAAAAAAAAAATCACACAAATTTCCATTTTAAAAGCCATTTTTCATAAAAAAAAAAAAAAAAAAAAAAAAAAAAAAAAAACACACCCAACCAACTCTAGTTGTAATGAACATGAAGCACTGCAGAGAAAGGCAGAGCATGCACACTGGCCCTCGGCCCAGGCTGAGCACACACAAAGGGTCACTTCCCAATACTCAAGTTGGAGATAAAGTGAATCACTCAAGACAGGGCAACTCTTACCTCCAAACTGCTTCTTCCAGTTGCAGGGGATCTTACACCTTTGGGTCTTCATAGTTTGCTTGCACTCGGCTCCAGTGCGAGTGCCCTCGCGGGTCCCTAGGCCACAATCTCCACTGGTGGGTACACACACGCTCCACTGCCACTCGCCACAGTCGGACTTCTTCACTTTTTTCTCTGGATGGAGCCAAGGAAACCGAACCAAACCAAGAAAAGTGGTCAGTACCCAGCCAAAAAAAAAAAAAAAGCCACTCTAAACAATCACACCGGGTAAACCAGTAAACAAGAGACTCTCATAACATAACTGCCTTAAATTGATCAAAACTGAAGTTCTCCTCACAAGGTGCTGCAGGTTGTATGTTGACTGCCTTTCTAGAGGCTGACTTCGAACTGACTCCAGACCAGGGTGGATCACTGAGGCCAGGACAATTTCCCAGTGGGTGTGATGCCTCTGAGTCATTGCAGGCAGGATTCGCCTCTCCAGAAAAGGGAGTCTTCTAGAAACAATGGTTCTCAAACTTTTGTATTGGTGACCCCTTTCACATAGCAAGCCTTTTAGTGCAACCCCCCCCTTATAAATTAAAACACTTTTTAATATATTTAACACCATTAAAAATACCGGATGCAAAGCAGGGTTTGGGGTGGAGGCTGACGGCTCATGACCCCCCC